AACTCACCTGATCTTCCCATTGTGTTGGGAGCCACATGGCTAAGGAAACACAACCCTCACATCGACTGGCAAAATRGYAATATCCTTGGTTGGTCTGAACAATGCCTGGGTAATTGTTTACAATCTGCTAATGAGGAATCCTTATGTAAAGAAATAAAGGAGCTAACTCCCAACCTATCTAATGTGCCTCAATGTTATCATGATCTAAAAGAGGTTTTTAGTAAAAGTAAAGCTACTTCCTTGCCACCCCATAGACCCTATGATTGTGCCATTAACCTKTTACCTGGTACCACACCCCCTAGAGGTGGTTTATTTTCACTTTCTCAACCTGAACAAAARGCCATGCAATCTTATATCTCAGAGTCACTTAAAGCAGGTATYATTCGTCCTTCCTCGTCACCAGCAGGGGCTGGGTTTTCCTTCGTGGGCAAAAAAGATGGATCTTTACGTCCATGTATTGACTATCGAGGGCTTAATGATATAACAATCAAGAATAAATATCCTCTTCCTCTAATGACTTCAGCGTTTGATCTCATCCAAGGGTCTACAATATTTACTAAGCTTGATCTCCGTAATGCCTACCACTTAGTCAGGATACAAGAAGGCGATGAGTGGAAAACCGCCTTTAATACTCCATCTGGTCACTACAAATACTTGGTCATGCCATTTGGTCTAACTAACGCACCCGCTGTTTTTCAGGCACTGGTCAACGATGTCCTAAGGGACTTCATCAATGTCAACGTTTTTGTATATCTTGACGACATTCTCATCTTTTCCAAAGATCCAGACTCTCACGTTCGCCATGTCCATGCTGTGCTACTCCGTTTGCTCCAAAACAACCTGTATGTCAAGGCAGAGAAATGTGAGTTTCACACCACAAACACAACCTTCCTAGGCTTCAATATTAGTCCTGAACAAATATCCATGGACCCCTCCAAAGTGTCCGCAGTATTAGATTGGCCCCTTCCTCAGAATCGCAAACAACTGCAACGGTTCTTGGGATTTGCTAACTTTTATAGGAAGTTCATCCGTAATTACAGCTCTATTGCCTCACCCCTTCACGCATTAACTTCCTCTAAGGTTCAATTCATATGGAATGATTCAGCAGATCAGGCTTTCAATAAGTTAAAAACCAAGTTTACTTCAGCTCCCATCCTCAGATTTCCCAACATTGATAAACAGTTCATCGTGGAAGTTGATGCTTCCAACACTGGTATTGGAGCTGTCCTGAGTCAACGTGCTGATGATGATAAAGTGCATCCTTGTGCGTTTTATTCTAAGTCTCTCTCCCCAGCTGAACGCAACTATGATGTGGGCGATCGCGAGTTCCTGGCAGTCAAGATGGCCCTAGAGGAGTGGCGGCATTGGCTGGAGGGGGCTAATCATCCGTTCATCGTTCTGACAGATCATAAGAACTTGGAGTACCTCAGATCAGCTAGGAGGCTGAATCCTCGTCAGGCCAGGTGGGCTCTATTTTTTGGATGTTTCAACTTTACTCTATCTTACAGACCCGGGACCAAGAACGTTAAACCGGATTCACTTTCACGCATCTACAAAAAGGAACAGACCAGTGACTCGGTAGACTTCATCCTACCTAACACTGTTCGCCTATCCACCACACAGGTTGAGAGGGAGGTCAGGGAGGCCCACCAGGCTTTTCCACCACCAAGGGATTGCCCGAATGACCGCCTGTTTGTACCAGATCATCTGGTTAATAAGGTATTAACCTTCTGTCATTCGTCACCTCTGTTTTGCCACCCGGGCATAGGAAAGACCTTGGACTTAGTCAAAGCCCAGTTCTGGTGGGGTTCCTTGAACAAGGACGTTAGAGAATTCGTTGGGTCTTGCACTCAATGCTCCCTGGCTAAACCCTCTCGTCGTCATCCAGCGGGTCTCCTTAGACCACTTCCCATTCCTCCACGTCCATGGTCCCACATCGCCATGGATTTCGTCACTGGCCTGCCACAGTCTGGGGGTAAGTCTGTCATTCTCACAATAATTGACAGATTTTCCAAGATGGTTCATCTTGTTGCCCTTGAAAAGTTACCATCTGCCAAGGAACTCAGTCATCTTCTGATTAAAGAAGTATTTAGACTTCATGGGATTCCAAGAAACATTGTATCTGATAGAGGACCTCAATTCATTTCCAAGTTTTGGGCTGAATTTTGCAAATCTCTGGGCATTGAGCTAAGTCTCTCTTCAGGTTTTCACCCCCAGACTGATGGCCAGTCGGAGCGAGCT